TTCTTCTTCTTCTTCTTCTTCTTCTTCTTCTTCTTCTTCTTCTTCTTTAATGTGGAAAGCCAGTCATTAACAATGCCCAATGTTTCCTTTAATCTCCTTTGCTCTAAATATCTGTCAAACTAATTGTTACTTCATGAACATGCCCCATGAACACTTGCATGACACAGCCTGAGCTCTGATATGGCCTCCACTTGGAGAGCACTTTTCCATTTCTCTTGCCTAAACCCTAGTGTTATCTGACACCACTTTTAGATCCATTCTTTATGAAAATTTCCCATTCTTTTCTCAACCAGATGTGATCAATTTTTTCTCTGTATCATCAAAACTATGTAAATAACTTTCTTGCCAAATCCTTGTTTGTTCTTTTCTATCATAGTTTTCATTGTATTGTTTTTTCTTTTTGACTATGAGCATATATGAAGAGAAGAAACTGTATTTTATTTTTTCCTGTATCTTCTATTTAATACATATCTCAGTGTCTTATATAAAATGGAAACTGTAAATATGTATTATATTAGGAGTAATGTATCATAGATATATTTAAAAATGATGTAACACTCTCTTAATCACCTCCCCCAGCAAAGTATATTTTTAAGTACAAAATTGTGATTCAAAAATAAAGGTATATGTTGTTTTATAAATAGTCTTGGTTTATGATGAGCCTTCTCAAAGATGATTTGTTTCCACCAACCAGAAAACTAGAGGTGGTTTAATTAAAAGGAAAGTTGTAAGAGTTCCTATTACACTCTCTCTCATAAAAAGAAAATGATATTTAAATCAAAGGTATGGAGATGAAGTATAAAGTGACAGATTTAGTTAGTAACTGAGATAATTAACATTAATAGAAGTGAAATGCATTTTCTGTTTTAAATAAGAGATTGGAAATATAATAAGTATGGTGAAAAACCTAGAATGTTTAGTGCCTTAAATCTGCTTCTAAAATAAACAAGGGGAAATTATAATTTCCTCCCACTCCTTGGGTGAGGATTTGATTTCAAATGTTGATACTACATGGTTAAGATAATATTCTTCTAGAAACGTATACCAAACAGACAATTTAAAATGTACTCATTCATTATTCAGAATTATTTTGCCATACTTAATTCACTTTATGATTACTCTTTACCACCAAAATAAAAAGACAGTATTGATCCTTATTCATACTAAGTAAATTGTTATGCTCAGGGTAAGGTGGAAAAGGGCCAAAAATGGTTAAGAAGGAGAAATGTGTGCATTGTAAAATTATATCTTTTCTGTAAAATAAAGGATTATATAATAAAACAATAGGAGTATATAGAAATTATGGATGGAAGTATGTTATTTACTGAAAATTCTTCTATAATTGTTTAAGATATAAACTTGGAAAATTATTGTCATTAATATAATATACTCATATTTTTTCCAGTTAGCATTTTAGATACATTGAATAGGCAAAATATTATTTATAACCTGTATAAATTATTTTCTAATTTTGATTGGAATGATCAAATCAATACACTTTCTATTAATGGTTCTAATGAAATATAAATTCTATCCTTTTAGCAGTTTTAATATTTCCTCTAAAAGTTTTTAATGGTATATTATTTAGCATTCATTTAGTTACTCTACTGCAAAATAAAAAAAACTCTACCCTAAAATGATAAACTTTGTTTAAACTAACATCGGCAGCGCATAAGTTTTTGGAATGCTTTCTTAAAGTCTTCATTAAAGATTGTATAAATCAGTGGATTTATAAGGGAATTGAGATAACCAAGCCATGCCAAAAAATTGGACATTTCTTCAGAAATTTTACATTTTTCACAAACATTAACAACCAATTCTTTTACAAAAAAAGGAAGCCAACATATCACAAATGCACCCAAGATTAATCCCAGGGTGGTGGCTGCTTTGCGTTCTCTTGTCCCTGAGATCTTTTGCCTTCTCCAAGATTTCTCATGCTTCAACTCACACCTGGAACTTTTCACTGTGCTATGAATTTTATCAAAGTCTGTTGATGGATCAGATAGAGACTTTTCTAGCATGTAGGGTGTGGAGACCAGTCTAGTGTTTTTCTCACCACTCTCCAAGAGGACTTGGCCATTCAGATCCTCCTTTGCAATTCTGCTTGCTTGTCTCTTGTGGTATAATGTTTTTGCTGCTCTATATATTTTGTAGTAGAGGATCAAAATCAATACAAGTGGGATGTAGAAAGCTCCAAATGTTGAGTAAATGGTGGAAACAATGTGGTCATGCTTGATGACACACTCATCATTTCGGCTAGTTCCTTGGTGTCTCCAGAATAGAGGAGGCATGGAGATAAAAACTGATATAACCCAAACTATTGTAATCATAATGCCAGCGTGCTTGGGAGTCCTTTTCCTGGCATACTCAACAGCATCAGTGATTGCCCGATATCGATCCAAAGCTATAGCTGAGAGATGCAAAATGGAGCAGGTACAACAGATAATATCGACACTCAGCCAAATGTCACAGACCACTTGTCCCATGATCCAGCTCTCTCTCACAATATACACAATACTGAAGGGCATCACCAGGACAGCTACAAGGAAATCTGTGACTGCAAGGGAGCAAATTAAGTAATTGGCTGGGTGGTGCAGCTTCCGCGTCACAATAATTGCAGCAATCACAAGGGAGTTGATGGTCGTTGTCATCAGTGCCAGCCCGGAGAGAGTGAGAGACACAAGAATTTTGGCTGGCATTCTGTTTAACAGTTCCTCTGAGGTCAAGTTTTGATCAGATGAATTTAAGAAATCCATTTTTTTTTGTTTCAAAAGATTAATATAGCTGAAATATGGATACCTGTAACAAAGGAGGGGAAAAAAACAGTTCAGAGAAGGCGTTGAGAATTTTTCTCTTCCTTTTAAGAGTAACCTTTTAAAAAGTATATGTGTATATTTTCCCAGAATATTCTATGGATTCAAAAAATGGAGTTCGGATTGCAAACTTTATTTTTTTTTTTCATTTAATTAAACAAATCCAATAAGAACAATAACAAATAGGTAACTTTTAAAACATTTCTCAAAATATGACTCACATAAAAAGAGTTTTATGAGTAAACTAGCAAATTACTCAATAAACCATCTACCATTATAGAATTGCTTTTAAAAAATTGTAGTAATCATACATTTTTCTCTTTGTCTATAGCAGAAAAAATTTAAAAGCACATGTAATTAATATCTATTTATGCACTGTGTAATGTAATATAAGAAAGCATCATATTAAGGGCAGTATTCAAAATCATAAACAATTTTATACTTAATTCAAAGTTACATTGAGAACATTATTATTGTGCTCATAGGAGTACAGGAAAATTTAATATATTTTATGCCAGGATATAGAAGTTACATAAAGGGAAGTAAGTAAAAATTATTATATCTAGCATTCTATGGTCATTTAATGAAATTAAGAAAATGTCAGAGTGTTTAGTAGTCTTTGTGAATGTAAGTACTTAATTTGGTTTAAAAAGATAAAATAAGATTAGTTGGAGTCAAAGAACCATAGAGCATTGCCCATTATAACAATGATATATGTGGTCAAACATTCATGACAGCAATAAAAATAGGGAAACACCCAAAGAAAAATTAGATTAACATAATTTACTGATAAACTCCTGGAAACAAGAATGTGAGAAAGAGTACTGGTGAAAAGCTATGTAGCTGCCCTTAGTGGAGAGAAACTCATAGCACTGAAAAAATTAAGCAGTTGAGGACAACTATGCTTATTATGCTGAGAAACATGACTCCCTGGACCACTAGCATCATCATCACCTAGGAACTTGTTAGAATTGTAAATTTTAGGACCTCACACCAGGCTTACTGAATCACAAAATCCAGAAGTGGGACCCCACAATCTGTGTTTTAATAAGTCTTCAGCTGATCTGAGGTTCCCTAATTTGAGAACCACTAGTTATATTTCCATGTAGACTTTAGACTCCATTCTTTATATAGAGTTGCCTTAATTGTGCTTTAAAAATATGTGGTTATTAGTAATGTAGATATAATATAAGTAATATAATATAATATAATATAAGTAATGTAGTAACTTAACCATACAATAGATAACCACCCATTTTCTGGATAGCAGGTATTTAAATTTCTTTTGCCACTCAATTTGTTTAGCAGCAGCACTTGGCTTCAAAAAGTATCTGAAAGAGCAAATTAAATTTAACCTAAACACAAGTCAAATGGTGAGTATGTGGGCTTCCAATGTGGTCTATAATATATTTAATCACATCACATGAATGATTACTTATATTCTTAGGAAGTATTTGATATTATTAGTTTCAACTACTGAGACATTATCACTTTAAAATCAATTTAAAGAAGAGGAAAGTACAGTAACAATTATAACAAAGAATAGATTTAGATTTCTACTTTCTTTCTTTTCATAACAAAATTTCCTAAGTAATTCCTAAAGAATTACTTAAGAAAGAGAGGAAAACTAATGGGAAAAACTACCTTATAAAGTGTATTAATCTTATTTGATTGTACTCTAATTGCTTTTATTTTTTTCTTCTTTTTTCACTATTTATTGGTGTATTATAATTATGCATAAGAGTGGGGTTCATTGTTACACATTCATACATGCATATAACATGACAATATGATTTGGTCAATATTGTTCCCTAGTATTTTTTCTTTTCTCCCCTCATACCTCCCTTGGTCCCTTGATCTCCCTTTACTTTTCGTGTGATTCACCCCCTCCACTTTTCATCTTCTTTTTCTTCTCTAGCTTCCACATATCAGAGAAAACATACGACCATTGACAGATTTCTGAGTTTGGTTTATTCCCTTAATATAATGCTCTCATGGGGCTGGGGATGTGGCTCAGGCGGTAGAGCGCTAGCCTGGCATGCGTGCGGCCCGAGTTCGATCCTCAGCACCACATACAAACAAAGATGTTGTGTCTGCCGAAAAACTAAGAAATAAATATTAAAATTCTCTCTCTCTCTCTCTCTCTCTCTTTAAAAAAAAAAAATAATGCTCTCAAATTCCATCCATTTTCCTTGACATAATTTCATTTTTCTTTATGGTTGAGTAAAATGCCTTTGTGTATATATACCACATTGTCTTTTCTATTCATCCTTTGATGGACACATAGGCTAGTTCTATAATTTGGCCCTTGTGAATTGTCAGTTATCTGACTTCTAATTAAGAATAACATACACTAAAACAATGATTGTAAGCTGTGGGTAGAGAGTCCTCTTTCAGAAGAAAGGTAACATAGTCACCACAATGGTGACTTATAAAGAAGAATAACTTTCATTTCAGGGTGAGTGCCATTCTGAGCTCTCCTCTCTGGCAAGTTCACCTTTGTAAACAGGATGCTTGGTCATACATGTAGTTGTTATAAGGGGTAATACTCTATGGTTCTTTGACTCCAACTAATCTTATTTTATATTTTAAACCAAATTAAGTACTTATATCCACTAAGACTACTAAACACTCAGATATTTTCCTAATTTCATAAAATGACCAAAGAAGGCTAGATATGCTAATTTACCTCGGTAAGTGGGCTTTTTGGTCAAGGAGCTTAGCAGACCTCACAGTTTTTGTAGATTCTCTCAGGAAACCCATTTTTCTTTGGAGGGGGTTGGGGAGATAATGGTTATGTGTGAAATGCTTTCTCCAAAGCAATGAAGATATATTAGAAGCGTGGTATATTAATTAATTTTTACTTCCAATCCTCTTTTATTCTTTAATTATAAAATTTACACTATTTTCTCAATCTAAAAACAGAATAGTTTCTTATTTATTTATTTTTGCAGTGCTGGATATTGAACCCAGGTGCTCATACATGCTAGATAAGAGCTCTATCACTGAGCTATACCCCTTGGGTACTTTCTTAATTGGATAATTTATTTGCAATGATGTTTACTTAGTGTTATGGGAGTTGATTTAAAAGAGTTGACATTTTCCACATTATAAACAAAAATAACTTTCAACAGTAATTTGCCTCATACACAGTTTGGGCATAAGAGATGACCCTGAAATGTATTTTGGTAAGCAAATTAAGTGAGAGAAACTGCAAGTGGTTATGTGAGTTTCTATAATAAAAATCACTGCTATGGGAAATTGGACCAGTTTAAAACTAGAAATTGAGTTATTTGATAATTCAACGGATTTTTCTAAGTTTCACATTGTAGCCTTTAAACTAGCCTTGATAAAATGGTACTTAATTCCAGGAAAAAAAAATCAAAATTTTTGTCATATGCATCATATATAGTTTTGCAGTTTACCAGAAATCGTCCAGTATTTCATTTAAAACCTAATTAATCTTCCAATTGTCATATTCAACAAGAAAATAGGACAACAAATGCAGTCAATCTCAATAGGGTTTCACTTTCATTTGACTTTTTTCCTTACTATTACAGTTAGAAACTTAATAAAACATCTATCTTCAGACATGATATTTGACCAGATTCCTTCATGATCCTTTATATATGTTATATTATATATATATAATGTAACATATATATATGTGTGTGTGTGTGTGTGTGTTTAGTTATACATGGACACAATATCTTTATTTTGTTTATTTATTTTTATGTGGTGCTGAGGATGGAACCTAGTGCCTCACAAGTGCAAGGCCAGAGCTCTACCACTGAGCCACAGTCCCAGCCCCATTCCTTTATATTTAAAGTTCCCACTGTGTGTCCTCATAGAGTTAGGCCCACCTCTTTATCGTAGGACACAGACTGTATTACTCATGCTTCTCCTGCTCTTAGAACATAGACAACATTCTATATTTCAAATGTCTTTCCTAGGAATTAGTCAAGATTCCTCTGTGTAAAGGCTGTAGTCTATGCAGTTATATGCAATCTTCCTGATAACAGCAGAGAGCAAAATTCTCTAGACTTTACTCTGCATAAATATTTGCCAATTTGCTGATCTAGCCACTTGGTGCATTTTCTATTTTGTTTATACACAGTATTTTTTTTTATCAAATATTTGTTTATATTCAGTAATCTGTTTGATTTTGATGTCCATATATTTTGTACTTAGGTTAAACTATTAGCTTCTAGAGGCATAATTTAATTTTTTTTCTACTGTGAATAAGGTGTATGTGTGCACAGGTATGTGTGTAATACAAATGGTTTTTATAATAATATTGTAAAGAGGCAAGATAGTAAAATTCAGTTCCATCAAGACCTCATGAGAAACTATAAGTTGACTGTTTCAATTAAATTCATAATAATATTCATCTTTTCTGAGAGTTTGCTTTTATAGGTGTTACAGAGAATGGGCCTTCTGTGAAATGAGGCAATGAGAAGTTTCCTCTTTATATCCCAATTCTTGCAATAATGCCAGAAAGATTTCATACATGTCTCTCAGAGTAACAGGTATGAATTTATTAGGAGGAATAGGAAAGGAAAAGGCAGAAGGTGATCCTCGCAGAGAAAAGAACTCGCCCTCCAGTTTTATTGGGAGCTCCAGGAAGTTTCCAGAGTCCCACCCAAGCCCACCTTCTGACTTTTGACTGACAGCATAGGAACCTCATGGACTGCCTCTAAGATATGGTGTGGTGCTCACAGAGGAATTTGATTCTCCCCATTTTTGCCTGGATTTCCTGCCCCTTTAATTGGTTTATCATCCTTTGAAAATCCCTCAGCAACTTTCTTTCTGAGACTCAGGTGATTGGTGGTTGTGATGATATTGGTGATCAGGGAAAGTCTAGGCCCTCTGGTAGGGTGTGATCTAGTCTCTAGTGTCAAGGGAATGTAACAGTGGTTGGGGGAGGTTTTAACATTCCAAGCCTCCTTCTTTGAGATGCTAATGTATCAGAAGGCTCCCTGTGGT